GGGGGTGGGCGGGCGAAATCAAAATTATATTCCCAAAATTGATCCAAACATTAGGTAGAGTTACCCTCAAAATGGAGCACCAACGTTAATAACAGAGCCTGTAAGCAATACCTAACCCTTACCATCAAGGGTTCGGCGGGAGGGATGTGATCTATCCTTAATTTGAGGTTTCACGTTCAATCTCTAAAAATAGAGAAAGTTCTAATATTGGGCATTTTCCTTTAATGCGCCATACGCGATGCGGATCCGAACAAATTGAATTAGTAAATTTCGAATACTAGATACTAATTGCAAAAATTAAAAAGTACCTCTCATATTCTTTAGGCTTATAATTGAGGATAAGTCGTTGGTCCATATCGAAGCATTAAATTAGGCAACATAATTGTCAGAGAAGTCATTGCATTAGCTTGGTTGCGAAGACACTTCATTATCTTTTGCTCTATAAATATAAGGCTTGAATTGATCAAGACAGAAAACCACCATAACCAAAGTTTTGAGATGGTAGAAATGATATTGCTTGGGGTTTCCTTGAGCCCATTTACTCACAGAGTTGAGTGGGCTCTAAAGATTAAAGGAGTTGAATATGAACTTATAGTAGAAGATCCACAAAACAAGAGCCATCTACTTCTTCAATCAAACCCTGTTTACAAGAAAATTCCAGTGCTCATTCACAATGGCAAGCCTATTTCAGAGTCTATACATCCAACTTCGATTCCCAGGAAGTAGTGAAGTCTTCCGAGATCTCGCAACTTAAATTCTTTGGAAAAATGAGTGATGCATGTACGAACTGCATTTGTTACTCCCTGTGATAATAATATCATCGACATAGACAAGGATATAAAGAACATCACTGCTTTGTTGTTTGATAAAGAGCAATGAGTCGGTATGAGAACCTGCAAAACCAATAGATAGAAGATAAGAACTGAGTCTGTGATACCTAGCCCGTGGGGTTTGCTTAAGGCCATATATTGATTTCCTCAATTTGCACACATAATCAGGACATCGTTGATCAATAAAGCCTGGAGGTTGGGACATATATACATCCTCTTCTAAATTTCCATTGAGAAATGCGTTAGAGATGTCCAATTGTTGAAGAGTCCATTTATTGGAGACTGCCAAGGAAAAAACAACTCGGACTGTTGTAGGCTTGATAACCGGACTGAAAGTGGCATCATAATCTATTCCCTCAACTTGATTATAGCCTTTGGCTACCAAGCGAGCCTTGCATCGCTCTATGCTTCCATCATGATGGTGTTTGAGTTGAAAAACCCATTTACAACCAACAATATTGGAATGTGATGGTTTATGAACAACTTCCCATGTTTGGTGTTGTATTAAAGCAGTGATTTTAGAGCTCATAGCCTCTCTCTATGCAGGAACTTTGAGTGCTTTTGTGTAGCATGTTGGTTCTGAAAGAGTAACAGAGGAAGATTGAACTTTATCACTCGAAACAGGCATGAAAGATGGTGTCTTCTTCTTGGGATTTTGTCCTAGAACCATTGGATGAGTGCGTCCAGGTGGTTGTGATGGCTCAGTAGGTGGAAAGACATCAGTTGCTGCTCCGAAGGAAAATTAATAGATCTTGAGAAGCACTAGGAGATGATAAAGTGTTGAAGAGGGTGGTACATTTGAATCAGGTTGCGGTATTGACGCAATTAATATGAGCCAAGGAGTAGAATTAAATTGCTCTGGAGGGGTGCCTAGGATAGATGAATCAGATAACTTTTTCTCCTTACGAACATGCCTACTAAGATAAATTTTATTATCCTGAGGATTAAAGCACACATACCCGTGATGGTCCTTGGCTTATCCGAGAAAAACACAAGCTGCAGTTCTATAGGAGAACTTGTGTTGATTGTAGGGACGTAACAAAGGATAGAAGGTACAACCAAAGACACGAAGAAATCCATAATCTGGTGAAGTGCCATGAAGTTTTTCAAATGATGAGATATGTTGAAGCACTTGAGTAGGGAGCCTGTTAACTAAGTATGCGGCACTGTGCATAGCGAAGTTCCAAAGTCTGGATAGAACTGCAGAATGAGCATGTAGGGTAAGGCATGTGTCCACTAGGTGTCGGATTTTCCTTTCAACTTGACCATTTTGCTGATGTGTATGTGGACAAGTAATGCGATGTTAAATACCATTTTCCTTCAGATAAGTATTGAGCGTACAAAATTCACCACCCCAATCTGATTGAAAATTGATAAGTTTGGCTTGAAACTATTTTTCAACCAATCTGTGGAATTCGACAAAAGTAGAGAGAACCTTATTTTTCTGTTTAATTGGAAATAACCAACAATACCGTGAGAAGTCATCCACAAATAGAACAAAATATTTGTCTCCATAAAAAGATAAGTTGGGAGCTGGTCCCAAGACATCTCCATTCATCAATTCTAATGGTTTACTTGCAATAGAACCAGTAACATGTAAAGAAATCTGACTATGTTTTCCTAAACAACAAGCTTCACAAAGACCAAATAATTTTATTGAATGGCCAGGCAAACTGAATTTATTAACAATAAAAGAGACTATTGATTGTTGAGGATGACCAAGCCGAGCATGCCAATCTGGTGCAGCTGTCCGAACTGATTTGAAAGCCTTGCTATTTCTTGCAATGTCATCTGTTACAACAATAGGAAGCATGTAAACTCCGTCATCAGCCGGCCCCTTCAACAACACCTTCTTATTTGTCTGATGCTTCACAGTAAACCCAACAGAGTCAAATTTAAAGGAGCATTGATTGTCTTTAGCAAATTTATTAATAGACAACAATTGTTGTTGTATGGCAGGCACATATAAAATATTTTTCAAACGTAATTGATTATTATCGGAAGATAGTGTAGTGTGACCAATGTTTTTAATGTGAAAACCATGTCCATTACCTGCAGTAACTTTGTCAGGACCTTTGTACTCCTCAGAGATTTCAAGTGCAGACAAATCAGGTGTCATATGATGGGAAGCCGCAGTGTCAAGTAACCAATCATTGGAAGAAGCATTAACATTGGCGGCATTGGCAGTGATTTTTTCAGTATTAGTATCATATCATTTGCGACACCATTTCGCTTGATGATTGTTGAGTCCACAGATCTGACAAGGATTAGGAAACCACTTCTTATTTCCTTTAGAGGAAGCACCATTGTTTCTGTTACCATTATTTTTTTGGGAGCTTTGGTAGAATTGGCGAGCAGATGAAGTGTGTTGTCGAGAAACATTTGCAACAGCAGAGATCGGTATGCGAGAGTTCTGCAATAGAATTTCATGAGCTATAAGTCTACCAGAAAGATCAGAAAATGATACCTGTGATTTTTCTGCAGATAGTGTTGCAATGAAAGGATGATAATCAGAAGGAAGTAATTGGAAGATGGTGGCATTGAATTCATCAGGAGATACTGGTGTTCCAACAGCAGCAATCTCATCAACGATAGCATTAGCTTTGCATAGAAATTGAGCCATTAGTTTGTCACCCAAAATCACGTTTTACAAGGTGATATGCAATTGGACTCTTCTAGCATTGTTGCTTATACCAAATGCATTTTAGAGAGCTTCCCAAGCTTCAAAGGCAGTATCTAAACCAGTCACATAAGAAAAAATTTCCTTGGTTAAAGATGATAAGATCCAACTCAGCAAGAGTTGATCTTCTTGTAACCACTTTAGATAATCAGAATTTGGTTCTGACTGATTTGTTGTAGCATTGATGATGGTAGAGGGAGGTGCTGGTGTACCATTGATATGATTGAAAAGACTATAGCATTTGATGATAGAAACAAACTAAGTTTTCCAAGTCAGATAGTTTGTTGGTTAGAGTTTAATTGAAAAAGAGAGTTGAGCATGAGGTCAAGTAGCAAAAAGACTTGGAGTGGTTAAGGTTATTGCAGTAGAGATGGTGGAATCTGAAAGTCGAGAAGTTGATTCCATGGTAGGCTCTGGTACCATGTTATGAGATACGATGTTGAGAGAATTCGATGATTTTCAATTGAGTACATTGTTGAATATATATACAACAGTTAACAACACACTATAGAAGACTAGGGAGATAAGGTAACTAATAGAACAATCATATATCCTAAAATATAGCTAACAAAATATAGCTATCCTAACTAATAGAGATTGTTATCCTAACTTATAGCGATTGAACTTTATCTCTAACAATGATCATTCTTGAATACATTGACGACACATTCGAAGGCCCTTCTATCTTGTCTAAAGAGCCTTATGAACGAGCTTTAGCTCATTTCTGGGCTAAGTTCCTTGACGAGAAGGTGAATTTATTTGGATTTGAGTTATATACATTGATGTGTAAAAAGATATTTTTCAATTATCATTACATTTAATCTATTAGTAGGTTTCCTTACTATTTTTATTAGGTTGTCAACTCTAACTATTATCCATCAACGATGTAAAGAATTTTTATACTATTAAGTCACATTTACTTATAGCAAGTAACTACCTTATTTTCAAAAGGCAGAATAGCCTAAATGACACCTATACTTATGCCACTTTGTCATCCCGGTCCCTGTACTCAATGAAGTTTCATCCAGACACCTAAACTCAGTCAAAACATGTATTTTAAACCACTTCGGCATTACGTATTGGTCACTCGCCTGACGTGGAGAAAATATCATGTCCACATCAGATAAATCAATGCCACATCTTTATTTATTTAAAAATTAATTTTTAATAATATTTCAAATCCATCCCCATCTTCCTATGCTGTCGGCGACCCTTATCACGGGAAAACAACCCGAAAATTGGAGTCGCCTCCACCATTTTGCTCTCTTTCCTCCTTTTTGAGCACAATCTTAAACCTCAATTCATATACATAAAACTCTTCAATCTTGATAAAAAAAAAATTATCCTGCTTCATCTCTTTACTCTCACTATTTTAGGTAAAACCAGTGTAATCTTAGAATTTAATGAGACGCAAAAGGGGCAACAACCAACGAGCAGCATGCCATCACTAGAAAATAAAGAACTACATCGTTGGAAGTATTTCATTGCCGATCACCACAAAGCAAAATCAATTCGTTGGAAAATAATCACTAGTGGACTCCACCACCTATTTCTCCACTCACTAGACTCCTTTGGAAAACCCATGACCACAATGGACATGAAAATTACTTGGCCATAGCTTTTTGATATCTTTAAATACTTTAATCCCATTAACAGGTCTGCTTATTTAGCTTCCCTCAAAGAAAATTCTTCTCCTTTTTGTACTATTAATTTTGTTCCTAACTATCCACAAAGGGGCGGGGGTGGGAGGTGGGGGGGGGGTTACGATAGGAAAGAGGGGGGGGGAGAGAAAAAGAACAGGGAGAAACGGGGGGAACAGAAGGGTTGGGAAACAGTACTTAGGTTGGGAAATTAATTAATTTACTTTTTTTTAATGGTTATTCTTTATTATTTTTAATATTTGTAAATCAAAACAAATATATCCACTCTCCTTTTTAGAGCGTGTTATCACTCATTTTTCTGACTCAGCAAAATGAATGACACATAAGCTCGGTCAATGGTCAGAAGGGTTTGAAATCCATGTTTTGACTGAGGTTAGGTGTTTGGATGAAACTTCATTAAATACAGGGACCGGGATGACAAAGTGACACAAGTATAGGTATCATTTAGGCTATTCTGCCTTTTCAAAATTATAAGTAGCATTTTTTATCTAGTTTTACCTATTGATATCTTTTGAATGATTTGATGATATAAAAAAGTTTTCCTTACACTCTCGTGTATATAAGCTGAACTTATTCATATAATATAAATTTACATTTACTTTTAATTGTTTTATAAGTGAATTGATCTGTATTTATTTTTCATATCGTCAGTGGATAAAACTTAAACTTCATTTGTTGTCATGGTATATATTCCTATATGCAGAACTAAATAAACTTTTTATTGAAACTTCAAGTCTGGACTGTTTTGCAGTGTTTGCCAGCAATGGAAAAAGTTTTTTTTGGGACAGAAGAGGAGTTAGTCAAAGCTAAGGAGGAATGTAATGAGCTGCTGAAAATTCTTGATAATGAGCTCAAGGATAAGAAGTTTTTTGTTGGAAACAAAATTGGATATGCTGATATTGCTGCTAATTTAATGGCATTTTGGATGGGAATTATCGAGGAAGCCTCTGGTATAGTTTTGGTGACAAGTGAAAAGTTTCCCAATTATTGTGTTTGGAGAGAAGAGTACCTTAACTGCAGCCAAGTAAAAGATAATCTACCTTCAAAGGATGCTTTATTTTCCCATTTCCAAGCTCGCTTTCAAGCTGCAGCTGCTCCCAAATGAACACATCTCTCACGAAATTTCAATATTTTATGTGGCAACAAAACCACCGTTAAAAAAATTATCTTTCAATTTTATCAGTGGTCATTCAATTGAAGGTTTATTACACTCATTGCACAAAAGTCACTACTTCAATTTTTATCAATTAAGAATTATCCATCTAAATTGAATAACCCAAAAATAATTTTAGGATTAAACAATTGAATTTGCATCTAATAAGGTCACTAATAATCGATTCAAATCAGAGCTTCTTTGACTGAATCGTGTGACTAGACAAAATAAGCAACAAACAAAGATAATAATGCGATTAAAGTAGGCAAGTAAAGGAAAGAATAATCTTATTGAGCTTGTTTATAAGTCATAATGTCCTAAAGTAAGGATCAACTGCCCAGCTTGACAAAAGTGAAATGAAGCAGTTTATAATTATGAGTAAGTAGAGTGTAATCAAAGTGAATATACGAATGAGAGGACCAAAGGTATTTATAATCTAAGCCTAACGTTCACATCCCTAGATACACACCGGTTGTGGGATAAGCGTCAGGCATAACGGGTGAATCCCTTATTCTTCCTAGGCGGTTGAAGACCAAGCAAGACTCCAAATTATAGCTCTATCAACGAATCCTCGGAGTCGTCTTTGGACTGCTTCACCGAGACACTGCTTCCATCTCTTCAGAAAGGATCTGTTGGGTCAAAATTATTTCTTGTGAGGGCAAACTCTCAATGTTCATTCATCCCTAAGAATGACACTCGTCCCAACAAGTGTCGTGTCTCCATGTAAACTATTCGTGTATCAAGGCTAGATTTTACCAATAGATAAATCTCTCTTAAAGTCAAATTTAGTGAAAGGGATCAAACATGGAGGATTGAGCTAAGAGCTTTTTCTTCTTACTGAAAAGAGAAAAATGAATTACAAAGTATAGTCAACTACCTAAACTACTGTTATAAAGCTAATCAACCGACTAACTATTGAGTTAATTACTAACTTCTACATATTACATATACATCCATCACTTTTAAGTTAACTACACAATACTACCCTACTTCATTCTTGTTACTCTCAACACTCCCTCTCAAACTGGGGGTGTGAACACATTCAGCAGTCCTAGCTTGGACACTAGATATTCATGTTGCTGCCTTCCAAGCCCTTTAATCGAAATGTCTGCTTGTTGTTCTTCAGATTGTATGTATTGTGGCATTACATCTCCTTTATGCACTTTCTCCCTTATGAAATGACAGTCTATCTCAATATGTTTGGTTCGTTCATAAACTGGATTCTCAGCAATTTGGATTGCTGCTTTGTTATCACATAACAACTCAACTAGGAGCTTCAACTTTATCCCCAGTTCTTCATATAATCTGATTAGCCATATTATCTCTGCATAACTGAAGTTATGCTCCTGTACTCAGCTTCAGCTGAGCTCTTAGACACTGTAGTTTGCTACTTGGACTTCCAGGATACTAAAGATTCCCCATACTTCACTAAGTATCCTGTCGCTGATCTCCTAGTGTTTGGACAAGAATCCCAATCTTCATCACAGTATGCCTTGATTTCTTCTGCTGGTTTTCTTGATAGTAGCACTCCCAATCCAGGTTCTCTCTTGATGTATCTAACAATTCTCATGGTTGCTTCCATATGAGACCTCTTTGGATGCTGCAGAAATTGGCTCAAGGTTTGAACAGCAAAGCTTATATCTGGCCTAGTCATTCTTAGATACAACAACTTGCCTGCTCCTATATCATCCAGTGGTGTATCACCTTTGTGTCCAACATGATCATCATATTTTGCACCGATCAATTTCTGATTGCTTTCCAAAAGAGTCCAGGCAGGTTTTGCTCCCCCTAAGCCTGAATCTGAAATCAGCTGCAGAGCATACTTCCTCTGGTTCATAAGTATGCCATGTTTGGACCTTGAAAATTCTATTCCCAGGAAAAAGTTTAACCCTCCCCCCCCAGATCATTTATTTTGAAGGCTTGTTGTAGTGTATTCGTGGTGCCACATACTAGTTCATTATCATTCCCAATGATAAGTAAATCATCAACACATACTAAGACAATTGCAATCTTGGACCTTACCGTCTTGATTAACAAGGAATGATCTAGTTGGCTTTGCAGAAAACCAAACTTCACCAATGCATCTACCACCTTCACATTCCATTGTCGAGATGCTTGCTTAAGACCATATAAGAACTTGACAAGCTTACATACTAGGCCTGGCTCCCTCTTGCAGTGAAATCCTTGAGGAAGTTGCATGTAGACTTCATCATAGAGGTCTCCTTGTAAGAAGGCATTATAGACATCCATTTGATGGATATGCTAGTCTTGAGATGTAGTAATGGATAACACTACCCTCACTGTCACCATCTTTACAACTGGTGAAAAAGTGTCTTGATAATCAAGACCTTCCCTCTGGTTGTACCCCTTTGCCACTAGCCTTGCTTTGTACCTCTTAACTTCACCATTTGCCTTGTACTTGATCTTATATACCCATTTGCAACCAATGGCTCTCTTGTTTGGTGGTAATGACACTATCTCCCAGGTTTTATTGTCTGCAAGAGCAGTGAGTTCAGTCTTCATGGCATCTACCCATTTGGGATCTTTACATGCTTCATCAAAGGATGTAGGTTCCACTGTTGTTGAAAATGCTGCTAGATGGGCCTGATAGCTATGTGACAGACTGCTGTATTCTAGGTAGTTGCTCAAGGACTAAGCACAAGAGCTACTGGCTTGAGTAGTCACACAGTCCTGCATCCATAATGGAGGCCCTTTATCTCTAGTTGACTTTCTCATAGGAACTACTTCATGATTGTATTTAGTGGTTACAATATCTTGGTCCACACTTGCATCTTCAGGTATGCCAGCATCTTCATTTGCTATTGGAGGACCCATATCTTCAGGTTCACTTGTAGCTGCTTCTCCTGAGTGAAGATCTTCTATACTAGCCCCTTGTTCTTCACTGTGATCATCAAGCTGAGGATCAATTGTAGTTGTAGAAGCAGGATCACTGATGTTTGCAGTAGGCACAGCGTGAGTGATCAAGTAGGGATCAGGTTGGAACATTGCAGATCCTTTGGTCTGCAAATCCTTGAAAGGAAAAACTGTCTCCCTGAAAGTCACATTCCTGCTAACAAAATTTTTTTTTGTGAGTTAAATCAAATAACAAATATCCCTTTTGCACAACTGAATACCCCATCAAGACACTGCCTACAGCTCTTGGTTGGAATTTGTCTCCAATGACTGATGGTGTAGCATAGTAAAGACATCCTGGAACTCTCATATGTTTCATAGATGGGCTTTTCTTATGAATCAATTCATAAGGAGACTTCCCTGCAAGTACTGGTGTAGGCATTCTGTTTATCAAGTAGACTGCCAACAATACACATTCATCCCAAAACTTTAATGGGATGTACCCTTGAAATCTGACTGCCATAGCTACCTCCAGTATGTGTCTGTGTTTTCTTTCTACCACCCCATTCTGTTGGGGTGTGTAGGGGCAAGACCTCTGATGGACTATGCCAAAGTTATCGAGCATGTTTGCACACTCAGAGTTAATGAGTTTTGTTTCATTGCCTGTTCTAATCACTTTAACCTGAGTGTTAAATTGTGTTTGATCCATCAAAAGAAAATTTCTAATGACAATAATTGCATCAGACTTCAGCTTTAACAGATAATCCATGTTACTCTAGAATGATCATCCACTATTGTCAAGAAGTATTTATTTCCATCATGTGTTGCAATTCGAAATGGTCCCCATACATCCATATGTAACAATTCAAACACATTCTTTACTCTATCTCTACTAGTAGGGAAAGGCAGTTTTGCCTGCTTAGCCAAGGGGCAAACATCACAACTGCTTATTACATTTCTACATGGTTCTTCACTAACATTCAACATATGCTTCATGACCTTTGATGGTGGGTGACCCATTCTTCTGTGCCAAAGCTGCAAGGTATTTTGGTCCAACTGCACATTCATGGACATTGGAGTTTCTTGTCCTTTAGTTGAAATTGCAGAGGTCAGTAGATAGAGTCCATTAGTTTCTCTACCAATCCCCCTCAGCTTCCCAATGAAGAGGTCCTGTAGTACACAAAACCCAGGAAAGAATGCAGCCATACATCTCAGTTCTCTAGTTAGTGTAGACACAGACAATAAAATATACTTGAAATCTAGAATGTACAGAACATTCTTAATCTCTTGCCCTTCTCCTATCTTTCATTTACATTTATGTGAAACTGTTGCCTTAGTTCCATTAGGTAATTGCACTGTCTTTCCATCTTGAGATGCTACATTGTATAATTTAGAAAGTGAACTAAGGTTTGAGGTCATGTGATTGGTCGCACCTGTATCTATGATCCATTCATGAGTGCAACCTGCCTTGTCTATTAAGCAGACAGTAGAATGAGATATACCTGCCATATTGATTGTAGTCTCCTACATCTCTTCTTTGTTGAGCAGCTTCAGGATCTGATTGAATTGCTCCTCAGTGAACATAGGCCTCATTCCATATCCTGAGGAGCAGCCCTTCTCAGCATGGCTGGCTGTGTTTGGTGCATTCCTGTTCCCTTGCATCTGTGAGTTAGTTTCTCCAAACACTGCAGAATTAGCTGAACCATATCCTCCTCTCCTTTTAGATTTGAAATCAGTTGGATATCCTACTATCTTATAACAATTCTCCCTAGTGTGCCCTTTCATTTTGCAAAAATCACATTGGAGATTGTGATTCTTCTTAGGTCGAAACTGACCACCAGCAGTCCTAGTAGACATTAGTGCAGTAACTTCACTTCCTTCGGCTGAATCATGAGGATTAGGCATAGCTTTTTGACTCTCACGTTCCATTAGCATTGAGTATGCCTTATTCACTGTAGGTACTGGGATCATCATCAATATCTGGCTACGAGCTTGTTCATATGACTCATTGAGTCCCATCGGAAATTATAGCAACTTCAAACGTTCCATAAAAGCAACAGATTCACCAGATTTTGCACAATCACAGCCCAGAGCTGGGGCTAAACTATCAAACTCTGCCCGGAGTACTCGCATCTTTGAGAAATATGAAGAGATCGAGTTAGTACCTTGATTAACTGTTACAATTTCTCTATGAATTTGGAAGATTCTCTAACAATCTATCTTATCAAATCGCTCTTTTAAGTCATTCCAAACTTCATTGGCATTTGAAGAGTAAACGATGCGACTGACCAATTACGGTGAAACACAATTCATGATCCATGACAAAACGATTGCGTTGCATTGTACCAAAACTTTCCCTTTTACAGGTGTCGTCGATGAACCCTAGCTTATTCCGACCTAGGATTGCAATTCTCATTGCTCGACTCCATACGGAATAGTTTTCCGGTCCTTGTAATTGAAGAGAGATCAACACAGCTCCCGAATTGTCAATTGAATTAAGAAAAAGTGGGTGATTGTGGCTCAATTTCTCTGGCAGTTCATTGTCAACATCCGCCATGACTGAGCTCCGACACAATTCTCCGATGAAGAGTTAGCTAGCAGAAAAATTGCTCTAAACGACCACACTTATGGCCGATGGCTCTGATACCATGTCAAATTTAGTAAAAGGGATCGATCATGGAGGATTGAGCTAAGAGCTTCTTCTTCTTACTGAAAAGAGAAAAATGAATTACAGAGTATAGTCAACTACCTAAACTACATATACACCCATCACTTTTAAGTTAACTACACGATACTACCCTACTTCATTCTTGCTACTCTCAACACTTAACTCAAACTTAAAACATACTTTATATACTTTGCACCAAAAAACTAATGTGACATGTTACATCATATGTCGCTTAACCCTCTAATAAATGTACTAAGCTATTTTATACCCATTTTAGTTATATGACTTTACTTTTAACAGATAAAGTTCAGATACCATCCGTGACATTAGCCACGTGACATTAGCCCGATCTAATATTCATTAAACATTTACCTTAAAACGTTTATACTACAGATACACTAGTTAGAGATCTTATAAAACATTGTAATTTGTATGCCATCATAAACACCAGATGGAGATTCAGATCTAACAATGTTCTTGTTAATACTATCTTCAATCAACCACTTTCATCAAATTAACAAATCGAAGACGAGTATTTTGTCAAACATGTTGAAAGTTTTTTATTCGAAGTATAGCCTCAGAGGAAAGTGACAATATACCCAAATCTCGATAACTTCCTTCTTATCCAGTATAGTATATTATTATTGACCATTTCACCTTAATTTGACTAGCTACAGATGTCACATGACGAGATGCTCCACTAGTTTCTAAGAAACTGTGAGTCATAGTGTTTCAACATTTCTATAATTCTAAGAGGTGATTTGCTAGGGTGTATTAGGAAAAATAATATATGTAATAGTTGTGATATTATTAATTTCTTATTTAAGAGTATATTTCAATTTTTGTGTAACTAATAGGAATACTTGTATTAGTTATACACCATATTCAATACTATCCTTATACATAGTGAACCACGATATTAGTAATATTATAATTTTTATTATATGGATAAGTAAAGATAAAATTGTCCTTTTAAAATCTTTAATGCACTAAATCAAACAATTGATAATAAATAATCTCATCATAACTAATCTGTCTATTATTAATCTTACCATTACTAATATATTATATTCAGTGTTATTCTTGTACACCCTACTCAATAACCCCTAAAGAAAAATTCAAACTTGACTTTGTAATTATTTAACAACAAAAAGAAGAAAAAAAGAAAGCCATCAAAGTTGATGAAGTGAGTGACATAAGCACACAAGTCATCTTTCGAGACACCTGTAAAATATGGATTTGATAAAAATAAGACTAATTCAAAATCCTGTACAATAAGAAGGCAATAGTAAAGAAGACAGTATCACAAACTAAGCCAAGAATTTTGAGCAATTAAGAAGTGAAAAATGGAAGAAATGAAATTGTTGGGTTTTGGGCAAGTCCTTTTAGTGTAAGAGTTGAGATTTCTCTGAAACTCAAGGGTATTCAATATGAGTATATTGAAGAAGATCTATCAAACAAGAGTGCTACACTTCTCAAGTACAATCATGTATATAAAAAGATTCCTGTACTTTTACACAATGGAAAGCCAATTGCTGAGTCTCTTATTATTCTTGAATATATTGATGAAACTTGGAAAAATGATACCCCTCTCCTACCAAAAGATCTTAATCAAAGAGCCATGGCACGTTTCTGGGCTAATTTTTTGGATGAAAAGGTACGTTTTCAAATGTTTTTGGTACGATAAAAGTCATTTTTCGGGAAATGACTGATTTTGTAGAATATATTTATCCGAAAAGATGTTTGGTTAGAGAGTAGAACATTTTTCCTAATAAAAATAGTATTAACTATTAAGTATTAAAGATTGAAAATAATATCTAAGAGCCGTTTGGCCATAAAAAATATTTCACCTTTTTCAGAAATTTTTTACTTTTTCCAAGAGTGTTTGGTCATAAAAATTTCAAATTTCACTTGAAGTTAAATTTCAAAAATTTGAAAAACTCCAAAAAGCTATTTTTCAAAAATTTCACTTCAAATTACTCACAAAAATTTAAAAACAACTCCAAATTATATTCATATTCAAACACAATTTTAATTTTCAAATATCATTTTTATTTGAATATTTTTTCTTTTTTACTTTTTTTGTAATTTCACAATTCTTAGGTCCAGATGCCCACTAAGTATTTCTTAAAATGGTGAAATGGAGTAATGAGTTGAGATAATTGTCAAGGAAATCTAGTCACTACTACCCAAAAAGTGAGGGAAGACATTTTCTTCCGGGAAAGATGTTTTTCTGGAAAATATTTTCTAGCTAACAAACACCAAATGACTTATTTCAGAAAAATATTTTCCACATAATATTTTTATTCATGCACAAACACAGCCAATCTTGAGATATTTTATTTCAAAATCATCATTTTCATGTAATAACACACTGTTATTGTCCAATCTCAGTGTTTGCCAGAGATGAAGAAACTTTGTTATGAGAGCAACAATGAAGTAAGGGAGAAAGCCAGGGGAGAACTTCATGAACTCCTTAAACTTCTTGAGAATGAAATTATTAAAGATAAGAACTTCTTTGGAGTAAATAGAGTTGGATACATTGAGATTGTTTCAATTCTGATAACTTATTGGCTTGGAGTTATTCAAGAAGCGTTGAAAGTGGACATATTGACGAAAGAGGAATTTCCAAATATATGTGCCTGGGCTGAAAATGTGATAAGCTGTAACTGTATGAAGGAAAATCTGCCACCTAGAGAAAAATTGCTTGCATTTTACAAAATGTACGTCAAACCACTAAATGTTGCCGTTTAAAGAATGTTCTCTGTAAACAAATAGAGATAATATGACTATGTAATGAAATCCTCGAGATGATGTATGTGTTGGTTTTTCCCGTAGAATTGTATTGTGTCTTTGCAATGGTGAATAAATCTTTTTCCTTCTGCTTCTCTGTTGGGTTTTATGTTACCAAACTAATGTTATTTCTGCTCCAATTTTCAATTAGAAGAGTTTGTTCGATCTTGGAGGATATGTCACAGATGGCGAGTATCCGTAAAAATATTATTTCTTAACACACCTCCAGCCTCACGATATTTTCTGTTTCTCCAACGTGAACAGGAGCAAAAACATCATGAGTAACTGTAACGACCCGGCAGGTCGTTTTGAGAATTAACGTCTCGATCCCCTATTAACTGCTTTCCCCGTGTTTATTTCTGCTATTGTGATTCCGGAAGATTCGTTTTGAGTTTCGGAGTGTTTTGGGACACTTAGTCCCTGAATGAGAGCTTAAGCTTTAGAATTTGGACCATAGTCGGGACGGTGTGAAGACGGCCTCGGAATGGAACTCCGACGATTCCGTTAGCTCCGTTGGGTGATTTCGGGCTTAGGGGCGTGTTCGGATTGTGTTTTGGAGGTCCGTAGCTTATTTAGGCTTGAAATGCCGAAAGTTAAATTTTTGAAGTTTCCGGATCGATAGTGAAATTTTGATATCGGGGTCGAAATTCGATTCCGAAAGTTGGAAAGTTCCGTAGTGTTGAATGTGACTTGTGTACAAAATTTGGGGTCAATCGGACTTGGTTTGGTTTGTTTGGTCATCGGTTGTAGAATTCTTGAGATTTCAAGTTCATTAGGCTTGGATTGGAGGGTGAATCGTGGTTTTAGCATTGTTTGATGTGATTTGAAGATTGGAATAAGTTCGTACCATGTTTTAGGATTGGTTGGCATGTTTGGTTGAGGTCCCGGGGGCCTCGGGTGAGTTTCGGATGCTTAACGAAAGTAGTTTTGGACTTAGGAAATTGCTGAAGTTGATGAACCTGTTGGTTTCGCACCTGCGGAGTTTTGACCGTAGGTGCGGCGCCGCAGAAGCGGTTAGGCAACCGCAGATGCGGTCGGAGGCTTGAAGGCTGTTGGTCGCAGATGCGGCTCAAGGACTGCAGAAGCTGGAGTGCATCTGCGAGGAGTGGAGCGCAGGTGCGGCGCCTGGGGGTTTAATGAAATTTCGCAAGTGCGGTTCCCTAGCCGCAGAAGCGGGATCGCAGATGCGGTCCCATGATCGCAGAAGCAGAAATCGCTGGGCAGAAATATGAAAAATCGAGGGTTTGAGTTCATAACTTGAAAAATCAAATCTGGAGCTCGGGGGAAGGCGATTCTGTAAGGATTTTGAAAAGAAGATCGGTGAGTAATGATTCCTAGCCCCTTTTTGATTGTATCCTATTAATCTAAGCTTAAATTCATCGTTAAATTTCGGATTTGGGGTGAAAAATTGGGAGAACTGAGGAAAAGTTCTTAGGCCGAGTTTTGGAATTTTTATCGAGGTTTTGGTATCGGATCTGCATGATTTTGGTTTGGTTAGACTCGTGAGTGAATGGGTGTTCATAACCGTAATTTTTACCCTATTCCGAGACGTGGGCCCGGAGAGGATTTTTGGTGTTTCTGCAATTTTCTTGCCTTAGCTTCGATTCCTTTATTTAAACATGTTGGTTGTAGTTATATTTACATTATGAAATTTATTTGATTAGATTTGGGCCACTCGGAGTTGGATACTCGTGGCAAGGGCGTGATTTCGGATTGATTGAGCTTAGTTAGAGGTAAGTGGTTTGCCTAACCTTGTGTAGGGGAACTCCCCTGAGGATTTTGGTACTGTTGTTATATGAATGTCATGTACGTGAGGTGACGAGTGCGTACACGTGCTAATTGTTGAAAAACTCTGTTTTCGTTAAGCAAATATCTGTGTCTTCCTTAATTGAGCAATACTTGTACTTGAAGTTCCTGTTTAGCTTAGGAAAGCATGATTATGTGACTTAACTGCCTTATCTGCACTAACTGCTTACTTGGTTTTCTGTATAGCATGTTTAGAGTAGAAACCCCTATTTTTTCTTGAATAAGAACTGTTGATCCTTTCTGAGACTGTTGTGTGTTTACTTTGGGACTACGGGACGGTATCCCGGGAGATCCCCACTTGCTTGTTTACTTTGGGACTATGAATCGGTATTCCGGGAGATCCCCCTGCACTTTATTATTTGGGACAACGGGACGGTATCCCTGGAGATCCCCCTGTACTGGCTATCTACTTTTGGACTACGGGACGGTATCTCGGGAGCTCCTCAGCACATATATGTTTGGGACTACAGGACGTTATCCTGGGAGATCCCCTGTTGTTATCAATGCTTACTGAGTTATTTTCTTTCTGAGATTTCCCTTTATTTGACTGTTAGCATATTAATTACAATGTCACGTTCTATACTGTTTTACCTTATTATATATTTATATAACCAGTAGGGCCCTGACCTTCCTCGTCTCTACTCGACCGAGGTTAGGCTTGGCACTTACTGGGTAACGCTGTGGTGTACTCATGCCCTTTCCTGCACATGTTTTTCGTGTGCAGATCCATGTTCTTCTACTCAGCCATTCCATCAGCGAGGCGGGCAATTTCAGAGACTTCGAGGAATATCTGCCGCGTCCGCAGACCTAGAAGTCCCTCTCTATTCTCTCCTTTAGCTTTAGACTTCGTGTATTTACTTTTGGTTTAGACATTCTAGAGTTAGTACACTATGTAAATTCTCTCTAGCTTGTGATTTCACGAGGTTCCGGGTTTTGGAAGTGTTTTGTGTAGTTTAAAAGAGTGTTATTGTATATGTCGAGCGGCATTATAACTTTCTTTATTAATTACTCGTATCGTATTTTATTTTTCCCTTTTTCCGCAAATGATAGGCTTACCTAGTCGTAGAGACGAGGTGCCTTCACGACAGTTCACGAAGGGAGAAATTGGATCGTGACAAGTTGGTACCAGAGCTCTAGGTTCAAAGGATTCATGAATCACAAGCCGGTTTATTAGAGTCTCGCGGATCGGTACGGAGACGTCTGTACTTATCTACGAGAGGCTTTGTAACTGTTACGAAAATTCCACTTTATTTGATATCCTTGTCGTGCGAGATTTTGATATCAAATTCTAAACCTCTATCTTCTATTCTCTCACAAATGGCGAGGACACGTGCCACCGGAGATGACTAGACACTCGCGCCCCCTGCTAGAGCCGTCAGAGGTCGGGGCCGGGGTAGAGCCGAGGACGCGCACGTGGTGCAGCTAGAGCACCCGCGCGAGCTGCTACAGAGGAGCCACCAGCAGCTCCAGCCGGAGCCCAGGCGTTTGATACGCCTACTTCTACTACTACTCCAGCTTTCCAGGAGACCCTTGCACAATTCATTAGCATGTACACCACTCTAGCTCAGGCAGGGTTTCTTCCCCTTGCTGCAGCCACATCTTAGGCCGTGGGAGGAGCACAGACTCCCGCCGTCCGCACTCCTGAGCAGCGAGTGCATGTTGATCAGGTCCCAGAGATTATACCGGCACCGCCTGTAGCCCCAGTTCAGCCCGAGGATAGGGCAGTAGCTTCAGAGGAGGAGCAGCGAAGGCTTGAGAGGTTCATGAATTACTAGCCTCCTACATTCAGTGGTCTAGCATGAGAGGATGCTCAGGGGTTTCTGGAGGAGTGCCACCATATCCTCCGCACTATGGGTATATCAGGATCGAGTGGGGTTTCTTTCACTGCCTTCCAGCTTCGAGGAGCAGCCTACTAGTGGTGGCGTACTTTTGAGTTGGACAGTCCAGCTGAGGCAGCTTCCCTGACATGGACTCAGTTTTCAGATATGTTTTTAGGGAGTACGTCCCTGAGAACCTTAGGGACGCATGGTGCACGGAGTTTGAGCATTTGCGCCAGGGTTCTATGACTATTTCGGATGATGTCGTCCGTTCACCGACTTGGCTAGGCATGCACTGGCCTTGGTTTCTACGGTTCGCGAGAGAGTTTGCCGGTTTATTGAGGGGCTTATTCCCAGTATCAGATCTAGCATGGCTCGGTAGTTGGAGATGGATATTTCTTATCAGCAGGTGGTGAGCATTGCTCGGAGGGTAGAGGGCATGCATTCTCGGGATAGAGAGGAGAGAGAGGCCAAGAGGTCTCGAGAGTCGGGCCATTATTCTGGTGCCCGTGCCCCAACTACAGGTCGTCATGGTAGGGGTTATATGAGTCGCCCCGTTAATTCAGCTCTTCCAGCAGCCAGTGGTATTCCAGCTCCTCCTAGACCTCAGGAGCCTTATTATGCAGCTCCGGTATCCAGTGCGCCTCCTGCTCGGGGTGCTTTTAGTGGTCAGTCCAGCAGACCTGGCCCGATCTAGTCACAGCCGCCACGTCCTCCTAGAGCTTGTTTGAGTGTGGCGACACACGCCATATGGTGAGGGATTGCCCTAGACTTAGGAGGGGTGCACCTCCGCAGACTTCTCAGCCACAGCGTGCTCCGCAGAGTTCCCAGGATATGATTACAGCACCAGTTGCTACCCTACCTGCCCAGCCAGCTAGAGGTGGAGGTCGAGGAGGTAGAGGTCTCCCTAGAGGGGGAGGCCAGGCCAGATATTATGCTCTTCCTGCCCGTACTGAGGCTGTTGCCTCCGATTCTGTCATCACATGTATTGTTCCGGTCTGTCATAGAGACGCATCGGTTCTATTCAATCCAGGCTCCACTTATTCTTATGTGTCCTCTTATTTTGCCCCGCATTTGGGCGTATCTCGGGATTCTTTGAGTTCCCCAGTTTATGTTTCTACTCCTGTGGGAGATTCTTTTGGTGTGGACCGCGTTTATCGGTCGTGTTTGATTGCTCTTAGTGGTTTTGAGACCAGAGCCGATTTGTTATTTCTCAACATGGTAGATTTCGATGTTATCTTGGGCATGGACTGGTTGTCGCCCCATTATGCTATTCTTGATACCGTGACGCTAGCTATGCCAGGTGTACCGCAAGTAGAGTGGAGGAGTACCTTAGATCATACTTCCAGCAGCGTTATTTCCTTTCTTAAATCTCAACGAATGGTTGAGAAGGGGTGTGACGCGTATCTAGCTCATGTGAAAGATGTCAGTATTGATACCCCGATAGTTGATTCAGTCCCAGTAGTACGGGA